TGGCCGGCGAACCAGTGAGTTGATTCATTCAGGAAATGAAGCAGTTGCTGCTTCGGACGTCACATGTCACGTGATTTGAAGCAGTTGCTGCTTCGGACGTCACATGTCACGTGATTTGAAGCAGTTGCTGCTTCGGACGTCACATGTCACGTGATTTGAAGCAGTTGCTGGTTCGGACGTCACATGTCGCATGATTTGAAGCAGTTGCTGCTTCGGACGTCATATGTCACGTGATTTGAAGCAAGCTTCGAAGCACTGCTTCTATGGAATAGGAAGTCCAGGGTTGAAGCTCCGTTCGAAGCTTCAGTGTCAAACTGCCATCACTACTTTGTGGCTTCAGCTGTCGGTTTCCTCTTTTCTTTCTCTCTCCCGGATATTTTATATTTTTCTTACTTCCCTTTGTACCCCTAGTCCAGGAGGGAACGTAACAACAGGCCTACTTTACTCTCAGTGGGGGGTATTAGTTCTTAGGCGCTTCAACCCCGAGGCAACAGGAATATTATGCCTCCCTCCGGTGTGAGTCGAGACTATAAGAGATATACAGTCGAAATATTATACTTGTCTGGTTGATTTGTAATGCTATCAGTTTAACCACGATCAACTTTCGAAGGCCTGTGGGTGTTAGGTGCAGAGGGATCGGCTTTATGAGTCTGTTCCTACTGCTGTGGAAGCGTCACACTCACATATCTTCATCTTCATTTGGAAGGTGAGACATTGTGTTTTTAATATTGCTTCCCCGTGTTTGTTTTCTGCAGGTTCAGCAAGGTGTCATTCACCGTCATTTCATCTGTGCTTATTGTACTCACATTACATTTGTTTGTTGACATGGTGAATTATCTGAGTGAAATGAAACAACAACACATAAGTGGTTGAGCCTGGCAACCTATCCAAAAGAATGCCATGGGAACAGTGAAGAATGAAGAAAGTGTGTGTATGAGATCTTTATGAAAGGGTTGGGAAGTCATATTTAATGTTTATCTGAAAGGAATATTTCAGATGTTTTGAAGTGGGCTACAATATTTGGCACGCCTCCAGAAAAACAGGGGGTTACGTATTGTAACCCTAGTTATATAAGCACAGGCTCCGCCCTCTACTGGACTCTATGGGTACTACTCTCTATCATGCTGTGCGTGCTTTCACCTACTGAGTTTACGTAAACGTAGCCGGCCAATCTGGGCGAGCCTACCTGAATGCGCGCGCAGGCCCACAGCATATAAGGTGGCTACACCCGCCACCCACTATCCTATACACTCTTCAGCGAGCGGACTAGGAAAGATAGGGCCCCCAGGTAGAGGGCTCCGCCTGTGCTTATATTTAGGGTTACAATACGTAACCCCCTGTTATATTTCACACAGGTTGACAGGAGACACTATGGACGCGCTTGTGAACTGTCAACGGGGGGGGTACCTCTGTATCGCCTGTCAGCGCAACTGAATTTGCGTTTTCTATGAAAAACATGCACAAAAAGGCAGTTATTTTCCATATAATAAATGTTGGGGGGGTCGGCTTTTTTTTAATTTTATCACAGTCTTGGATATGTCAAAGATTAGCAGCAAAATTGATTTTTTTGCATTATTAGTTCTTGCACAAAATCAGATTGAACAAAAAAGTTACATATTAGTCATTCGGGACAAAAATGTCCACTTCCAAAAACTGCTCTAAAATTACAACAGATTAATATTTTTTAAAACTTTTTGGGGTTAAATCTTTCAATCAACTTCAGTCCTGATCAAAAATACCAAATATTAAATTATGTTCAGGATTTTAACCCTTGAACTGCCAGTTTGAAAACATGAATTTGCGTTTTCTATGAAAAACATGCAAAAAAAGGCAGTTATTTTCCATATAATTAATGTTGGGGGGGTCGGCTTTTTTTTTTTATCACAGTCTTGGATATGTCAAAGATTAGCAACAACATTTATTTTGGTGGATTATTAGTTTTTGCACAGAATCAGATTAAACAAAAAACTCACACATTAGCCACTCGTGTCCCATCCACTCCCATTATAACCACATCTTTTGATCTCTCCGCCATACCGGTATAAAATCATGCATTTTGTAATGTCAGGGTTTTATATTGGAGGAAAATAGTTCAATTTGTCCTTTTTATTCTATATCACCAGATGTGACATTTTACCATTGAATTACATGCTTGTCATTTCTTGGTTTCTTTGCCTGTTGTATAATGGGGCCCTGACAGCCATTGGAATACATGTATGCAACTAATATGATGTAGGTGTGTTGGTATGGATGTGGAAGAGTGGTATCAGCTGAGAAATGTGTGTGTGTGTGTGTGTGTGTCTGGATGTACAGTGTGTGTGTACAGAGACAACAATATACAGTAGATTTGGTTTACAGCAAGTCACAGTTTTCGCCTCATATCTTTCTTTCTCTCTCTTTTTCTCTCATTCCCAAACTCATACACACTCGTACATATTAAACCTCCTTATACCTTGTATGTGTGTGAGTGATTGTGTGTGAGAATGAGACAGGAGTAAGTGTGCTCTCATTGCGTTTTGTTTTTCATTTGTGCTGTTTCATGTGTCTTTGAGGTAAACAGATGTATGTCTTGACCCAGCTTGACCTCGATGTTTTGAATGGTTTGGAACTTCAAAGTCCTTTGATAATGTCTCTTTAGCAAATAGATATACACAGCCTTACATACAGTCCTTGAAGTAAATAAAAACACCTGGCTGCAAAGCCAAAGCTTCAAATATGTGTAGTTTGGCTGGATGGTCATTTCATTCCTGTGATACGCAACAAGCAGTAAGCTGAAGAGGAGCTTCTCTGTGGGACAAGAGGTCTCATGCAGCCCGTAACTTCAGCTGCAGGACTCATCCTCTGAAACAGAAACTCCCTGAGAAGGAGAATCTGGTGTGGATCTGAACTGTGCTTGAAGGGAGTCAGCACAAGGATAAAACACTTTTTTGCCAAACATGAGAAGGAGAATCTGATGTGGAGTTTGCAGTGGAGTCTGATCCTTCTTCGTCCGACCCTTCCCCTGAAAGTGGAGAGGACACAGAGGATCCCATCCCGTAGCTGCGCTACATGCCTCTGCACTATCCTATCCGGAGGATCGTGTCCATCATGGGTGGACATCAAAACATTTTCAAATCTGGTTTCCCTCTCACGAGGAAACGCCGCGCTACATTCCTGCTGCCAGAGGTTTGGTTTCAGGGCCCACGCGTTATGCCATTACGAGTGGCATAAATAAGAATTCATGACCTTCTTTGATTTATTCTTTACCCCTGAGATCATCAGCAGTATTGTCGACATGACACACCTGCATGGGGGACGTTCGGTGGCAAACTCCTCAACCTCCTCAGCAAAGGACCTCATCGATTCCTCTGTATCAACGTGGGATTCGGGGCAGAATTGTTCCTTCTTCTCTGCCCCCATCCGATAAATGAACTGTTTGGCAAAAAAGTGTTTTATCTTGGTGTTGACTCCTTTCAAGCACAGGCAGATCCACACCAGATTCTTCTTCTCAGGGTGTTTCTGTTTCAGAGGATGAGTCCTGCAGCTGAAGTTACAGGCTGCATGAGACCTCTTGTCCCACAGAGAAGCTCCTCTTCATCTTACGGTACGTCCACACAGCAGCTTTAAACAAATCTTCCAACGCTTCTCTGCCCATTGACTTTGAATGGGGATAACGTCACTTTGCCTCGCTTTTCGCCGAACTACATTGTGGCGAAGCGAAGCGAAGATTTCAGGGATTTTCAGGATTCAAAAGTTGAGCAATGTTCAACTTTTGAAGCTGAGGTGGAAGCGTCAGCCAATCAAATCCCGGGGATTTGATTGGCTGACGCTTCCACCTCAGCTTCAAAAGTTGAACATTGCTCAACTTTTGAATCCTGAAAATCCCTGAAATCTTCGCTTCGCTTCGCCNGACGGCTCGTCCACACAGCAGCTTTGAAAAAATCTTGAAAATCTTGGAGGTGGGCGTGTCTGAAAGCTTGGGGACTTTTTGCGAGCAACGCGACCAACAACCAATCACATGAATATCCCCGCCCCTGACATACAAAGCAAAAAACCCTGGGGATTTTATGCGAGCAATATATAAATTATATATATATGCCCAAACAGGCGAAAACCTACCAGTTTCACCCACTGTCTCTGCCACCTCCCTCCATGCCTGGTTCCTCCGGTTTGTATCCCGGTAAATAGTTCTGGTCGTAAAGAACCGGGTGATTTGCTACCGGGTAATTTCTCGTTTGGAATATGAGGAAATGAACTGCGGTCTGGCTCTCCCAGCTTGCACGTGGTTTGATTGGCTAGCGCTTGTACTGTCAGATTTGCATAGACGGGATTTGATTGGCTGACGCTTCCACCTCAGCTTTAAAGGTTGAACATTGCTCAACTTTTGAATCCTGAAAATCCTGGAAATCTTCGCTTTGCTTCGCCACAATGTAGTTCGGCGAAAAGCGAGGCAAAGTGACGTTATCCCCATTCAAAGTCAATGGGCAGAGAAGCGTTGGAAGATTTTTTTAAAGCTGCTGTGTGGACGTACCGCTACTGGTCGTAAAGAACCGGGTGATTTGCTACCGGGTAATTTCTCGTTTGGAATATGAGGAAATGAACTGCGGCATGTCTCTCCCACCTT